GGAGGAATCTTGGGGTGAGGAATGAGGAACCCCAAATGAAATTTAGGCTCCTGACAAATGGGGAAAGGAACATGATATGGCACTTTCCAGATGAGCCGAGGAATCGCCTCCAAGGTCCAGGGATTGATCCACCCTGGCGGCCCTGGCTTCCTCCTCAGAGGTCCCTTTAGAAGGAGAGGGGGTCCCAGGTCTCCCTTCGAGGGCAATGCTTTTGCCTTTCAGGCTCCAGCCTCCTTCTCCATGGTGTTTATGTCAGCTGTTGAGATGGGATCACACGCAGACATTTCCAGGTTTACTAAGGATCCCTTGAAAAAGATGGGTTCTGCTTCGGCATGTTGTGCCCTCCCCCCGCCCCAACCATCTGTAAACAGAACTGTAAACACTAAGAAAAACTTATGTTTTAAAATGTATTGCTGATTCATTTTTTGAATGTTTGAAATTGTTTCTACCAATAATGATATTCAATCTCAATATAAATCACTTTCAATTTTTTTTTAAAAAAAATCCTGTCATGTAGAAATTCAAAAAGAGGTTCCCAGACTGGAGGTTATCCACACAGAAACCCAAAAGAAAAGGAGGAAATCTCCAAGTAGAAAGATAGGCCTTTATTGAAATACAAATGTTCCTGCAAAGAACCACATCCGATAAAATGCTTTTAAAAATAAACTTCCAAATTGAACATCATTCCTTTTTTTTAATTAAAATATGTTATTAACATATAGAACACATACATTTACATAGTACGTATGCACAATACCTTATTTTCCTAACATAAAGCATTCCTACATTACTCTGTATTAGGCTTACCTATACTATACATACCAACACACCTACCCCACATGAACAGCCACAAAGTGACTTCATTTCCAGCCGTTCTTGTTACACTGCTTTCTTTTTTCAATTGCCTTAAACACATTTCATTATTTCTTTAATCTCTTCTTCTATCTTAACTTTACTCTCCTTTCACTCTAATCATGTTCTGGATTTACTCAATATCTGTCAAAAGTTCGACTTTTTCCACATAGCTTTTGATGTATTCCTTAAAGAAATTCACTTTTTCAACTTGTTGTAAATATTTTCCCAGAATCCCACTATCTCTTTGCACTCCCACCACATGTGTAGAAAGGTTCCCGCCCGTTGTTGTATCTCCAACAAACATCACTACAGTTTTTATACATTTTTGCCAGTCTAACGGGGTCAGATACCATCTGTATTGCATTTTCATTACATTCTCTCTTTAATTGTAGCAAGCCGTAAATTTAATATCCCTGTCTCACAGCCGTTCCCATTGGCTCATCATATTTTCCCCTAAATCCTGGGCCTACTTTACCATTGCTGTCTTCACTTGCTCCTCCTTTACCTCCCATTCTAGGAGCAATGCATATCCTTTTAATGGTTTTGCAAATCACAGTTTGTATAAAGTTTAACTTGAACATTAACATCCTTAGATCTTTTCATTTTGAAATTACACCTATTAATTCATCACTTAATTTATATTAAATCCTAAGCCAATTAAGTATCTGCAAGCTGTTTCCAATTCATCTAACTTGACATATTTAACTAAATAATCATTAAATTTAGTCCATTCTTCCTGATACTACTCCTCCTTCTGGTTGCGGACTCTTCCGGTTAGGTCGGCTAGCTCCGAAAAACCCATCATCTTCAAGGATCGCAGCAATCTTAATAGCTGCAGCCCAATGCAACTTGGTTAGTTCATCATCCTGAACCAAACATAATCATTTGGCTCTTCAGATAAGCCCTCATCATATCATGTGATGACATATAACAATTTTTTGTGTCTTTCTTTTTAAGACTTTGGCTAATATTCCTATTCACTAAATGTCTTCCAACGTCCTCTTTCATCCATCTACAAAACAGTTCAAGATGAATCACAATTGCCATGCCTGGCTGATTCTCTTTTCATGCATACAACTCCCGCTTTATTCTTTTCAGGGTTCTGGAACAGACATTTGCTACATACAGCACCTAAAAGCAGCTTGTTCTGTTCCGTCAAAGGTAGGCAGGCAGACAGGCAGACAGACACAGGCCTTTTCAATTAAGTGAGGCCATAGGCTTAAAAGAAATCGGAATCATCCAAATGCAGTTTTATGAAATTGTTATTTTCTACAACGTATACATGTTATAGAATCATAGAATCATAGAGTTGGAAGAGACCACAAGGGCCATCGAGTCCAACCCCCTGCCAAGCAGGAAACACCATCAGAGCACTCCTGACATATGGTTGTCAAGCCTCTGCTTAAAGACCTCCAGAGAAGGAGACTCCACCACACTCCTTGGCAGCAAATTCCACTGTCAAACAGCTCTTACTGTCAGGAAGTTCTTCCTAATGTTTAGGTGGAATCTTCTTTCTTGTAGTTTGGATCCATTGCTCCGTGTCCGCTTCTCTGGAGCAGCAGAAAACAACCTTTCTCCCTCCTCTATGTGACATCCTTTTCTATATTTGAACATGGCTATCATATCACCCCTTAACCTCCTCTTCTCCAGGCTAAACATGCCCAGCTCCCTTAGCCGTTCCTCATAAGGCATCGTTTCCAGGCCTTTGACCATTTTGGTTGCCCTCCTCTGGACACGTTCCAGTTTGTCAGTGTCCTTCTTGAACTGTGGTGCCCAGAACTGGACACAGTACTCCAGGTGAGGTCTGACCAGAGCAGAATACAGTGGCACTATTACTTCCCTTGATCTAGATGCTATACTCCTATTGATGAGGCCCAGAATTGCATTGGCTTTTTAGCTGCCGCGTCACACTGTTGGCTCATGTCAAGTTTGTGGTCAACCAAGACTCCTAGATCCTTTTCACATGTACTGCTGTCAAGCCAGGTGTCACCCATCTTGTATTTGTGCCTCTCATTTTTTTGCCCAAGTGCAATACTTTACATTTCTCCCTGTTAAAGTTCATCTTGTTTGTTTTGGCCCAGTTCTCTAATCTGTCAAGGTCGTTTTGAAGTGTGATCCTGTCCTCTGGGGTGTTAGCCACCCCTCCCAGTTTGGTGTCATCTGCAAATTTGATCAGGATGCCCTTGAGTCCATCATCCAAGTCGTTGATAAAGATGTTGAATAAGACCAGGCCCAAGACAGAACCCTGTGGCACCCCACTAGTCACTCTTCTTGAAAGGATTCCTGAGATTCCTGACTTGCAGGGGGCAGGACCAGATGACACCCAGGCTCCCTTCCTGTGGGATGTGAAACTTATAGCAGTCAAGTACAACATTCCTACAGTGGACATGTTTGGGGATGTTTTGTAGCACTCTGGGACAGACTTCCACTGCATGTGACTTGAAGTAGGTGTGGCCTATTCTGGGTAGAGGAGCACATGTCCTTCATGTTCTGCTCTTTTTCTCCATTTTGTCTTTCTATATGTTAGGAGAAGTGACAGCTCAGTTGCGGTTACTTGGGACTAACTCCATTATGGGATAGTTCATATAGTTAGACACTTTTGTAACCTAAGTCTGCCTTCAGGGATGCATCTGTGAACTGAATGAGTGAGTAAACTACTTTTATATTTACTATATTTACTATAACAAGATTGCATCGTGTCTTTTTATGAGGGAATAGAAGGGCTCTTACCAGGAATCCTATATTTCAAGAGGCTTAAGCAAGCCTGCAACAAGGTAACCACCGTGCAAATTTACAAAAGGGGAATGTTTGGAACTCTGCTAAGTTATAGAACTTGCTAATGCAAGTTAGGAAGGATATTAGTAAACAATATATCCTTCTCCTGCCTCCCTAAACATCCCCACACTTCCAACTCTCCCATTCTATGATTCTGTGATGGAAACTTGAGCCAAAGTGTTGCCACAGAAACTAGGGAGCTAAAGATGTTTTTCTGGCAGTGGGACAAAATGTCATGGCTAAAATCTTGAGGGCAGAAACCAGAAAATACTGGAAAACATTAGTTCTTCTCTTTCTTACTTTCATTTTCTAACTTTCACATCTGTGAAGTCTCCTGAAGCTTTTTTCTGTAATGAAGCTGAAAAACCTTTAGTAGAAAGTTCTTCTTTGGCCAATGAATTTTGCCTCTGCCTGATTTATGGAGAACCAGATGCATCCACTCCAAACAAGCTTCTGCGGTTCTGCTCCCCATCCAGACATGGAGTGCCTTTACACTGAAGACCAAGATTGGTCCCAGAAAGAGAGACTGAGGTGAATGTGTGGGTCATAAGCTGGGAGTCGTTGGAAAGGAGTCGCTGGGAGTGGCAGAAGGTTCTGTTGAGCAGGTGAGGGAAGAACAGGAGGAGAGAGAAAGAGCTCCATGGAAAGACAAGGCTGCGTTGGGATGAGCTGGTGTGGGAACTGTCAGCAGAGAAAAATGTACATCCAGCAAAAGGGGATGCAGTGCAACTCCTGAAACTGTTCACAACACAAGCTATCATCTTATATGAGGAAAGGGATTTAATGTGCCTTCTTCCCCACCCCCAGTGGATTCGGAAAGAAGATTAGTAAAAGAAGAGGAAGCAGGATTGGATGAACATTGAAAGAGACAATAATTTTGGACTGTGACTTGACTGAGACTTGTTGGAACAGTTTTAATAAGGCTTTATAGAAAATGGACCTAAAAACTAGAGAAATACTAATTTGGATTATTAGATGATCATTATAAGAGTCATATTGCACTGCCTGAGAGGTTAAGATTTGAAGGCTGGGCTGGGGGGGGGGCGGAATGTAGGGAAAGTGCCATCTTGCTGAAGGGGAGGAAAAAGTCTGGATACTAAATACAGCTGGGTTTATCCTGGACTGCAGATTTTGAATAATTACTACTACAGAGGAATGATCACTCAGGGTGGGAGACGGGGAGAAGGGGGCACCCAGGGGAGAGCTGGGGGAGCCTGCTTTTCTATGTGTTGACAAATGATATGATATATATGATACACATGTGATAAAGGGTATTTTTAGTTATTCTCCCCCGCCCTTTCTCTCTTCTATACAAATGTGTTTTGTAAGGGTTGTTTAATAATGTTGTTTAATAATGCATTATTATTTTTCTATTTTGGTTTTACCTCTGTATGAATTCTTTGATGGGAAGTGAGACTCTGTCTGTGACTGAAGCTCTTCCCACATTTCAAGCATTGATATGGTTTCTGACCTGTATGAGTTCTTTGATGGGTCATGAGATAGGAACTGTGACCAAAGCTTTTTCCACACTCATGGCATTGAAAAGGTTTCTCCCCTGTATGAATTCTTTGATGAAAAGTGAGAGTGGAACTGTGACGAAAGCTCTTTCCACACTCATGGCATTGAAAAGGTTTATCCCCTGTATGAATTCTTTGATGGGTAGTGAGATGGATCCCCTGGCTGAAGCTCTTTCCACATTCCAAACACTGATATGTTTTCTCCCCTGTATGAATTTTTTGATGGGAAGTGAGCTTGGTCCCCTCCCGGAAGCTCTTTCCACATTCAAAGCACTGATAGGGTTTCTCCCCCGTATGAACCTTTTGATGCGAAGCAAGACTCTGCCTGTAACGGAAGCTCTTTCCACATTCCAGGCATGGATATGGTTTCTCCCCTGTATGAATTCTGTGATGGGAAGTGAGCTGCACCCTCTCCCGGAAGCTCTTTCCACATTCCAAGCACTGATAGCGTTTCTCCCCTGTATGGACTCTTTGATGGGAAGTTAAATGGGAACTTTGACTGAAGCTCTTTCCGCATTCCAAGCACGGATAGGGTTTCTCCCCTGTATGGACTCTTTGATGTAAAGTGAGGTCACCTCTCTGATGAAAGCTCTTTCCACATTCCAAGCACTGATAGGGTTTCTCCCCTGTATGGACTCTTTGATGGGAAGTTAAATGGGAACTTTGACTGAAGCTCTTTCCGCATTCCAAGCACGGATAGGGTTTCTCCCCTGTATGAATTCTGTTATGGGAGGTGAGACTCTGTCTGTGACTGAAGCTCTTCCCACATTTCAAGCACTGATAGGATTTCTCCTGTGTATGAACTCTATGATGCTTAGTTAGATTGGAACTTTGACTGAAGGTCTTTCCGCATTCTAAGCACTGATAGGGTTTCTCCCCTGTATGAATTCCTTGATGGGAAGTGAGACTGGAACTGTGACGAAAGCTCTTTCCGCATTCGAAGCACTGATAGTGTTTCTCCCCTGTATGGACTCTTTGATGGGAAGTTAGATGGGAACTTTGACTGAAGCTCTTTCCGCATTCCAAGCACGGATAGGGTTTCTCCCCTGTATGAATTCTGTTATGGGAATTGAGACTCTGTCTCTGACTGAAGCTCTTCCCACATTTCAAGCACTGATAGGATTTCTCGCCTGTATGAACTCTATGATGGCTAGTTAGATTGGAACTGTGACGAAAGCTCTTTCCGCATTCTAAGCACTGATAGGGTTTCTCCCCTGTATGAACTTTTTGATGCAAAGTAAGACTCTTCCTGTAACGGAAGCTCTTTCCACATTCCAGACATGGATATGGTTTCTCCCCTGTATGAATTCTTTGATGCAAAGTGAGATGATGCTTTCGATTGAAGCTCTTTCCACATTTCAAGCATTGATAGGGTTTTTCCTTTGTATGAATTCTTTGATGGGATGTGAGACTATCATTCCGATTGAAGCTCTTTCCACATTCCAAGCACTTATAGGGTTTCTCCCCTGTATGAATTCTTTGATGGGAAGTGAGACTGCAACTGTGACGAAAGCTCTTTCCACACTCATGGCATTGAAAAGGTTTATCCCCTGTATGAATTCTTTGATGGGAAGTGAGACTCTGCCTGAGACTGAAGCTCTTCCCACATTCCAAGCACTGATAGCTTTTCACCCCTGTGTGAATTCTTTGATGCGTCTTGAGATGGCTGCTTTGACTGAAGTTTTTCCCACATTCACAGCACTGGTATGGTTTCTGACCTGTATGAATTCTTTGATGGGAAGTTAGATGTATCCCCTGGCTGAAGCTCTTTCCACACTCCTGGCATTGAAAGGGTTTGTCCCCTGTATGAATTCTTTGATGGGTAGTGAGATGGATCGCCTGGCTGAAGCTTTTTCCACATTCCAAACACTGATGGGGTTTCTCCCCTGTATGAATTCTTTGATGGGAAGTGAGTTGCACCCTCTGACTGAAGCTCTTTCCGCATTCCAAGCACGGATAGGGTTTCTCCCCTGTATGAATTCTTTGATGCGAAGTGAGACCATCCTTCCGAGTGAAGCTCTTTCCACATTCCAAGCACTGATACAATTTCTCTCCACTGTGAGTTCTTTCGTGTGAAGTAAGGCTATCCCTCCAAATGAAGCTCTTTCTTTGATGGGAGGTGGACTGGGAGCTCTGATGGATGTTCTCTCCACACCCTGAATATTTATAAGACTTCTCCACTATGTGGATTCTGTTGTGGTCCCCCTTGTTCTTCCCTTCCAATTGATCACCATCTGCAATGAAGAGAGAAGCTAATTAGAGCTTCGGGCAGAACAAAATTAATGAATGCTTGTGATAGAGGAAGAACTGAAGAGAGTTAGAAGTGTTTAGCCTGAATTAGGTCTTGAGTCACTTGAGCTACTAGTCTCAATGCCAGAGCTGACTTAGCAGTTGAGCTGCTCAAATATGGTCACAACATGTGGCTAATTAATATAGTAAATGTGTTATTATTAGTAATAGATTATCATCCAAAATTTACAAATCATAAACTTCAAAATAGTATATATATATATATATATATATATATATATATATATATATCAGTCCATAACCAAGTAGTCAATGTAATGGAATGCTGGTGGGGAACACCACAATGTCTTTCAATGGATGATGTCCAAGACATCCAGATTGAATCAACTGTTTCAAAGAGGAATCTTCGTCAGCTGATGATGAAATTGAATACATTACATATAATGAATGACAACAAAAATAATACTGAGCAACCTGCATAGTAAATAATGAATAAAGAATAAATAAAGAATACATACCAAATAATTTTAGACAGAATATCCATATAGGTAAATGTAATACTTGTGGATGAGAGCACACTAACCAGTGTAGCTAACTGATACTGATAAAACAGATGTATAGAACTTAAAAGGTTATCCACAGGTGTGGGAAATAACAAATATTTAAGGACAATGCAAGAAAATGTAAAGGTACAGAGTATCAAATCTGGCATCGCAACGCAAGCTGAAACCATAAAGTTACAGACTTTAAATAAAACAGTTGAAATCTAGCTCTGAATTCAAACCCCCTGGATGTGTGGATTTGAATAAATAAATCAACCTAGTTTCTTGTCGCAATAACCTCTCGTAATCTTTCCTGATCCCACGTTTTCTCTGGTTGACCCATAGAACCGTGTATAAATCTGTGTCTGAATGAAGGTATTTGATTCAGCGTTCAACTAGGGGTGCCTCTATTACTGCATTTCTTATACAGGATTGATGTTCACCTATACAAACACCTACCGCTTGTGTGGTGGATCCAATGTACAAGAAGTTGCAAGGACATATAATTAAATAAGATCCCGTGACACGAGTATTAGTCAATGTAAGTAACTGAGCTCTGATCCACAAATATTACATTTACCTGTATGGATATTCTGACTAAAATTATTTGGTATGTATTCTTCATTTATTATTTATTCATTATTTAATTTGCAGGTTGCTCAGTATTATTTTTGTTGTCATTCATTGCATGTAATGTATTCAATTTCATCATCAGCTGACGAAGGTATACTGTCTTGGACATCATCCATTGAAAGGCGTTGTGGTGTTCCCCACCAGCAATCCATTACATTGACTACTTCTTGGTTATGGACTGAGATATATATACCTAGACAGCATCTTAAAAAGTAGAGACACCACCTTGCCAACAAAGGTCCGTATAGTAAAAGCTATGGTTTTCCCAGTAGTGATGTATGGAAGTGAGAGCTGGACCATAAAGACTAAACGGGAGCCAGGAGGAGTTTGGAGCTGTGGGGGTCCTCACCTTTGGAGGTACCTTGAAACATGCTTTTAAATACCACATGGAGTTCAGTGTTGACTATGGAAAAGGGGCTGATCTGTCGAGAAGGGACAAAAATATTGTCAAGCTGGAGTCTCCACGAGTGAAAGGAGCAGAAGACAAAGTAAAGTACAGGTATAAATATGAAGAAGATCTGCGGAAGGGACATGGAAGGGACTTAAGGGCCTCGGACATAAGATTACCAGGTTAATGAACTAGATGGATGGGATAGAAAGGACTGACAAAACCCGAGACCAGGAGGAAGAGATGTTGGATGAAGATTGGAAGAAAGTTTTAAAAATTCTATTTAGGATTGTTTTGTAAAATTAATGAGTATTAGAAAAATTTTGGAACGAAATTATTTGGCTTTAGCAGAAATGTTAAAAAAAACTATGTAAGAATATGCTAGGGTTATGAGAAATTGGTATAAATATGATTTAAGTTTTAAGTTTTAGGGTTTTTTATAGTAAGATAAGGTTAAAATAGATTAAGGTAATTTAATGACAGAATATTATGAAAAATGGAAAGCATTTGCTGTGATAATTAACAACTAGAATACAAAAAAGGGAGGTGTGAGGAGGTCAATGAAATAAGGTAATGACAGTTAAGGATTTGGGAATATTGGATCTGTTTTTAAATTTTTGTGGTTTATTTTTGCTTTTTGATTTTGATGTGTTATGTGTTTTGTTTTTGTTTTTTGATTTTGACTCATCGATTTGTATTGTTTAATTGCTATTTGTTTTTTCCTTGTTTTTTCCTTCTTTTTCTCTTTGTTTTTTTGTAATTTTAAAATTCTTAATAAATATCATTAAAAAAAAGACTAAACGACTAAACAACAACAACATATATATTATTTTGAAGTTAATGATTTTAATATAATTATCTTGAAATATTAGGAGGTTTGTTGTTGTTTATGCTGTTAACGATACTCCAATATATTTCACTTTATTCTTTATCACCAATCCACTCACTCTCTGTAATTCATTTTTTGACTGTGCATCCATGCTTTTCACTAACACCTTAGTTCCCCCTCTATTTATTTTAAAACCTGCAGCATTTCCAAGCAGCCTTATTGCTTCTAATACACTACTAATCCGCCTCTTTCTTTCACATCTGTTAAAATTTTATTTTTTATCCTTGGCTTTTTCCCATTCCAGACAAATCTTGATATTTCTCTCTGCCATTCTTTGAAGCACACATTCCCTGTTATTACTGGAACAGTTTGGAAGAGAAATAACATCCTTGGAAGTACATTCATTTTTAGAGTTGCAATTCTTCCCATTAAACAGAGATTCATCCTGTTCCATGTTTCCATGTTTCTTTTAATTTCCACTTAGCCCAAAACCAAACCTTCACAGAATTCGCCATGATGCTAAAAGCTCAAAGGTTTCGTGAACCCATCTGCCAGGTTCTTATGGCTTGGACAGTACTGCAACTTCACCAAGCCTGATTGGACACTCTGACACACATTCTGGAAACATATGTCCAGATGTTTGGTTCTGGCCTTAAATTGCCCAGACTCTGCCAACTTCAGACAGGGTTGATTGTCCTCCCAAACAGTGCTGGGCAAGCAACACTCCCCGCAGATTTCTTGAACCAGACAGCTGTAGAACTCCAGTTCCCCACACAGCTCTGACAGTGCACTGAACTAAGCTTCAGTAGAGGACAGCGCAATGAGACTCTGCTTCCGGAACTTCCACCCAACTAGAGATTCCCCAAACTTTATGACCATCCCAGATATGGACTTCCTGTCATCCAGATTCGCCCAGTCGCTATCTGTCCAGCATGTGAGCTTGGCGTCACCTGTAGCTGACAGTTTGAGACGGAGGTTTTTGGTATCCTGCAGGTATCTCAGCACCTGCTTAATACCATTCCAGGCATTTACACTGGGTTTTGTAGCTTCCCTGCTGAGCAGATTGGTAGCAAAAGCAATGTCTGGCCTGCTCCACTGGGACAGATACAATAGACTACCCAGAGCTTACTGAAAGAGTTCAGCATTCTCGAATTCAGCACGTTCTGCTAGCCGACTGTCTTTCACGTAGCCTGCCTCCATGGGTGTCCTAACCCCTGCACAATCAGACATCCTGAACTTCTCAAGCAACTGTTCAATCTTGCCTTTCTGACTGAGCAAGAAACTTCCATCTTCAAACCTGACTATCTCTTGTTGTTGTTTAGTCGTTTAGTCGTGTCCGACTCTTTGTGACCCCATGGACCAGAGCACGCCAGGCACTCCTGTCTTCCACTGCCTCCCGCAGTTTGGTCAAACTCATGTTGGTAGCTTTGAGAACACTATCCAACCATCTCGTCTTCTGTCATCCCCTTCTCCTTGTGCCCTCCATCTTTCCCAACATCAGGGTCTTTTCCAGGGAGTCTTCTCTTCTCATGAGGTGGCCAAAGTATTGGAGCCTCAGCTTCAGGATCTGTCCTTCCAGTGAGCACTCAGGGCTGATTTCCTTCAGAATGGAGAGGTTTGATCTTCTTGCAGTCCATGGGACTCTCGAGAGTCTCCTCCAGCACCGGAATTCAAAAGCATCAATTCTTCAGCGATCAGCCTTCTTTACTGTCCAACTCTCACTTCCATACATGACTACTGGGAAAACCATAGCTTTAACTATACAGACCTTTGTTGGCAAATACGGACCTTTGTTGGCAATGTCTATCTCTACACACAGGTAAATCTTTACTGCACCCAGGTTCTTGAGTTGGAAATGTTTTCCAAGCTCTTTGGTAAACTTCTGCACCGGTTTGTCTGCCCGTGAAACATGAATGATGTCATCAACAAAGACCAAGACCAGTTCTTGTGATTCTCCTGACCCCTCGAGGTACAGGCAGCTGTCAGCAAGACTCTTCTTGAAACCTAACTTCTCTAAGCTTCATTCCGACACAAGTCCCAATTCCTGGCTGATTGTTTCAGCCGGTAAATTGACTTATGCAGTTTCCTCACAATTCCTGGCCCATTACCCTCAATGGAGGAGGAGGAAGCATGCACAGATCCTCCTGGAGGTCTGAGTTCAAATAGGCCACATCCACATCAAATTGATGCACCTGAAAACCCCTTTGTGCAGCAATGGCTAAGAGCAAGCACAGAGTTTCACTTCTGGAAGTGGGAGCATATACCTCAGTGTAATGCAGCCCCTTCCACTGCGTGAACCCTCTGGCTACTAGTCTAGCCTTGTACTGTGGTTGCCAGTTGATCTTCCTTTAATCCCTCAGTCGACTCCACTCTTTTTTTCTAATTTTTCTACCTTTACCTTCAAAGCATTTACTTTTTCATCCAGTTTATCAAATTTCTGCAACAATACTTCCTTGGTGTTCTCTATGTCTGATCTTCCATCCATAAATTGTTTGTTCATAGTCTGCTCCAGCCCTTTCCTGAATTCTGCAAAATGTAAAGCCATAAGTTCAGCCATTTCTGTTTTTGGAGTTTTTTCTATCTCCTCTTGTGCTGAACCTCTCCTTCTTTCTGATACTCTCTGTTTTACTGGCTCTTGTTTAGATTTCTCTTCCATGTCATTTCTCAAAACAAACTGTTCCCAAACACTTCTGTCTCAAGGACACTTCAGCCCTCCTGTCTTTTTCTCACTCTTGCCTTGTATACAACAGTTCTCCCACCAATCCAATTCCCACACCCTTTTAAACCAAACTGTAACAACACTTTCAAACTTACAGAATTATAAAAGTTCCACAATATCCAGGAGAGCAAAAAAGAGGGCAAAATCACCTTTATATACAATCTACAAAAAAAGGAGGCCACAACAAAAGTCTAATAGTTACCATTGTTCAAACTTACTGTTACATTGTCTCTTGATTATGATTAGCACTTGCCAAGCTTCTAGTTATATTATAATCCACAATGCGTTTTATAATCCAAAATATTTCCACTGTGAGTCCAAAAATTTTCCAGACGTATTTATAATTCAAATTAGATTTGTAATCCAAATGGTAATTGTAATCCAATATACTGTGTCTAGTGTATAATGCGACTTTTGAACCCCGGAAAATTTTCTCCAAAGTCGGGGGGGGCGCCTTATACGCCGGGTATGGGTGGCGTGGAACAGAGCCCGCCCCCTGTTGCTGCCCAGCATATAAGGCAACTGGGCTTATAAGACGAACCCCCAAATTGCAGCTGCAAATAGGCCAGATTCTACGGTATATAGGCTATTTCTATCAGTTTTTATTCCAATAAAGGCCCCGTCCCTGTTCCCCCCCCCCCTTTCTCCTACTAAGGCTCTTACCAGGGACTTCCCCTCCCTGGGATTACCTCCCAGTTATGGAAAAGTGTCCTCCTGCCAAGCTTTGGTAGGACTTGCCAAGATCCAGGGTCCTTTTTAGAGGTTTTTTTAAAAAAGAATTTGCAATGTTTTCAAGCCTTTAAGTGCTTTCATTCATAAAATCTGCATCCCCATTCAAAAAAACAGAGTACTCCAATCGCTTCCTGTATCTTCCTTTTAAGGAATCAAAGAACAAAGAGCTACAGTTTCTTCTTGTATCCAGAGTACATAGTGTTAATAGGTAGCAAAGTAACAAAGTGCAGTTTAAAAAGTATCTAAAGACTGATGTGTCTCCAAAGGTTTTTTTCCCATTCACAAGCCTGTACTGCAAAATCTTCCCTTCAAAGGACGGAAGCTGACTTCCTGTTTAGATTCCGTCTTTGCCAAATCGAAATTAAATCCAATTCTTTTTATTTTGAAAAGTCCATTGTTGTTGACAATACCTTTTTTCCTTTGAAAGTCTTCTGCCTCAGGTGGCGATTTCTGGTTTCTGGTTTCTGACCTGCGCTGGAGCCATGGGCAGGCTCAAGCCACTGTCTCACACACACCCACCCACTCGCTGCCGATGCAGCGTCGGGGCTCCAGCAATCACGGCAAGCCTCTTCACGCCCGGCTGGTCCCCTCGACACCCCGCTACCTGTGGGACTTTTTGGGGGGGGCGGTCTAACCCTGGCACTCACCCCCACTGCTCAAAACCCCCGGTAACGGTCGTCTTTTAGACGGACGACTCACACCGCCTAGCCATTTCCCTTCAAAGACAAATCGGAAGCCCAGGATCAGGTTACTTTCAAGAGTCATGGCTTCCAGTGCTGCCTGAAGGATCGGTAAGTTGTCTGACATGGGTAGAGCATTCATTCACGGTGCTGGTTTTAGACATTTTGAGCTGCCAATACATCGCAGTGGTATGTATTCGTGACTCAAATTGCCTGCAGATGACAAAGGCGCAGGCAGGCAGGTGGAGGAGCCCAAAAATGGTGCCCCCCTGAGCAAGCCCCAATACCTCTCTGGCTCCATCCATCCATGTCCCCATCTCCCCTCGCCTGGAACTCACCAGATCTCTCGGAGGTCCCTGGGAGGGAATGCTCAGAGGTTGTGCGAAGGGATGCAGGAGACAACCTGACGAGGTCAACCGTCCATCTTCCCCCTTCCATCCTTATGAGCTTTGCAGGATCCGTCTCTTTCATCCTTCCTGAGGAGTCGAGAAGCCACAACAAGCTGCAGGGTCCTGGGAGAGAGGAAGAAGCAAAGGGAGCCTCAGAGGCCCTGCAGGGATTCTCTTGCCCTAGATATTCCCTTGCCCCTGGAGAAGCACAAATGGGGCAGCCCCTTCCAAGAGAAGCCCCATTTCTAAACATCTCCAGTGATTCCAATTTCTTCTGGATGCTCCTCACCCCACTTGCAAGCCTGGCATGGTTTGCACAGTAGTGAGCTGAGAGTAGATCCCATTGAACTCAGTGGGGATAACTGACAGAACTTGGTACAAAAACCAGTCACCGTCCTGTCCCCAAGCCTGAAAACTGCAACCCCAGAGCATGGGCAGAAAAGAGAAGAGTAGATATTACATGTAGGTGCCCCCATGCTAGGTGCTTTGTATGGAGAGCCCTGTTCACAATCTTTGAGCTCTCTCATCACAAGCCAGGCAGATGTTGTGGCCGTATCTGCCTCTGTCAGGAGTTGCATGGGGACCAAATCTGTATGTGGAAGCAGAGGAGCCGGTGATGCCACATTTTTGAAATATCAGGAAACTAATACACCCCTCCTCCTTAGATATCGTCTGTGCTTATACACCATCTTCGCAAGTCTCCAGTCCCAAAATGTGGCTCCCACCCTGGCATGGAAGCAATCAAAGTATAGATCTTCCACATGTCCTAAATCTGCAGTGTTCTTAAGAACACCAGGCATGTATATCCTCCAAAAACTCCAGAGGTGAGCTTTACGCTCCTCTTGTGACAAGATTCCCAAAGGCTTAGGGTAGTTTGATAGAACTAGTCTACTTTGAGAAAGCACCAATGTCCCCTGTTAGTAATAGGAGCAACACAATGACTGATAATCCCTCTTTTGTCCCAGAAGGTGGGGAGTAGGTGTCTTTTATCCTTGCTTTATTCTTCTTGATAATACATAAATAAATGTCCCCTTCTGTATCTTACATTTTTCTAAGAGAGTATTATTCACAATCAAGCTTGCCATGTATAGATTATTTCCCTTTAGAAAAGTCTCTCAAATCCCTGGCTCCTGCGAGAGGGTGTTCCAGTTTTACCTACGCACTGTGGAAGTTATAAGTTTAATGTAAATAAAACATTCTGCAACAGCAGCAGCTGCAGAGAAACTCCAGAATGGGGAACATCCTTGAAAGTTCACTCTGGGATCAGAGAGAGAGAAAAGTTGGCAGACCTGCCACCCAGAGCCCCCTTCTTCTCCTCCCTGCATCGCCTCACCCCCTTCAGGACAAGATCTTGGGGTCCTTAAGGCGCCTTTCCACCCTCTCCTCTCAAGGAAGGCAGCTCCGTTCCCTTGAACCCTGGCAAGCCCAGTGCAGCCAGCTCAGCCCTCTGGCTCTCCCCTTTTCTCCACAGAGGAGCCCCAGGCGTTGCCCCTGCCCAGAGAGGCTTCCCCTGGGGCTCTGGGCTGGAGACCTGAGCTGATCTGGAGGAGGATCTGGCAGGGGGAAAGGCTCTGCCAGGAGCAAAGGCCGGCCTGGCAGGGGCTCCTCCACTGGCAGAGGCATTCTGGGCATGCCCTCTCCCCCCCAGACCCCTCCCTCCTTCCCCAAAGAGGATGCTAAGGAAGAGCAGAGCTGCAGACCCCCTGGAAACTCGCCCCCTCCCAGGCTTGGCAGAGAGGAATGGGGTGGGCAGGACTCTCTGCTCCCAGACTTGGGGGTCTCCCCCTGCAGCCCCGGGACCCCCTTCTCCCATGGGCACCCCAAGGGGGAAGAGAGAGGAGACTCACCGGATTCTTCCCAGGAGGGAAACCGAGGCAGCGCGGGGAGGAGACAAGAGACAAAGATGCCGCCGCAGGGACTGGGCACAGAGGGAGGGGATTCGGCTCTAGAGAGCCAGCCCCGCCTCTCTACTTCCTGTCCTCTCTAGGACTCCGGCTCTGTTCCATTTAACCCTTCGCAAGCTGAGCACAGCCCCCTGGCTGGCTGGCTGTCCTCCTTGCCTCCCAGAATCCGCGTGGTCCAGGGCATGTGCAGAGTTCTCTGTGATTCTCGGCTCAGAGTCCCTCAAGACAGGAGCTTAGTGCCCTGCCCCGAGATGGGTGGGGTAGAAATGAAATAATAATAATGCTTCAGCTGGGTCCTGGGTTCAAGCCCCGCTTTAGGCATCGCAAAGGGTTGGACTGGAGGACCCTCGACCCCCCCTGTGAATCTATTAAATGCAAATCAATCAATCAATCAGTACACTCCCCAGTTGGAGAACGCGCTCCAGACTTAGAAAGTGACCTTCTGGTCGGGTTCTGCATTTAGGCAGGAAGACTCAGAGGCACAAATGTCAGATGGGGCGCCCCCACCTCGCTGCTCTCCCTCCCGCCCCCTTCCCCAATTCTGGAGGAGGCAGCTTGTTTCCCCCTCTTTCCGATTCAACTTCAGAATCTTAGAATTCAGAGAACCGTAGAATTTTGGAGGTGGAAGGGACCCCTGAGGGTCATCTAGTCCAGGCGGGGGAAGGTGGGGCGGCCTGGCCAGGATCCGGGAGGGCGCGGGGAGGAGGGGAATTTGGCCCGGGATAGTCCCTCCGCTTTCCTGGAAGCGTAGTCCTGAAGAAGGCCCAGGGCTGCCCCTGGGGAGAGAGTGCCGCTGCCCTCGTGGGCCTCTTCGCTTGGGGGGAGCCTGGTCCCCTTTGGCTCTGCCTTGTCCCCGCGATGCCCAAGGGGATCCTCCATGGACAGAGCCAGTCTACCTTGGAACGGGGGAGAAGGAGACTGGGAGGATGCTCTTCAGCTCCTGCTTGCGGAGTTCCCTGGTCGGCTGCTGCCAGGAGGCTGGGCTAGGTGGGAGGGGTCCCCTTGGTCCGGACCCAGATTCTGCTGCTGCTGCTGCTGCTTTGGGGCTCTCCTGAGCCCTTCCGCTCCTAGAATCACACCCAGGGGCCATCTAGTCCACCCCTTCTTCCTCCTCCTCCCAGGAGCGCCATTTCCTCCGGTGGCCAAGCTGGGCTGCTGGTTCCTGGAGGAGGCTGGGGGCAGAGGCTCAGTCATGCCCAGTGCCCTCAAGCAGCGCCCCGCCATTTTGTTCCTGCCCCCACCCAGGAGACGCCTGGAAGAATCTGCCCTGGAGTCCGAGTTGCCCCCGGAGGTTGAGGCCGGCCTGGTCTTCCAGGTCCTGGGTCTGGAGACCCCCGATATAAGACCGCCACCCTTAAAATAAAAACCAGGCCCTTTGCAAAGCCCAGCCTGCCCCCTTCCTTCCCTGCTTCTCCTTCACCTTGAAGCACCTCTAAATTCAGCCTCACTGTGATATACCCATTTCAGAGGTGCCACAACTGAGGCTGGGAAACTGCACCCATTTCGCTGTGGGGCTGATGCGGCATTTCCCAACCTGGGCATGAGTTAATTATTATACCCCACACACACACCCTTTATTTTTCTCCTTTCCAGCACTCCTGTGTTAAGAAGTAAAACAAAATTAAATGATTCTCTGGATCTTCAGTGTCAGCAAACACTCCTTCCCCGATCTCTGTTTGTAAACCACCAGTGTCAAACTTGCTTTCCTTGGAGGTTTTCCAAACGGAGGATGGAAGGCCAAATGTCAGGGATTCTTTATTGCAGGGGTGGGACTAGATGTCCGTTGGGGTCCAACCTCACAGTTGTTTACTATTATTATTAGTTTCTTTTTAAAAGATCAGTGTTGAACAACACTAAACAACAACAGCACACTACAGTGGTACCTCAGCTTAAGTACTTAATTCATTCTGGAGCTCCATTCTTAATGCCTTTACCCCAGTATGGCTCCCTTTATCACACACACAGCCCAACAAGACAATGACAGAAATCCACCAACAGCATACAAATCAATATGGCTAACCTGATCCAAAACACCCACCCACCCCACTCACCCATGAAAACAAAGACTACCACAGCCAACCACAAATGAATAACCCCACCCTAGGCCAACCCCAACTTCTCTCACCACCAAAGGAACACAAGTGAACAGCAAAGAACCTGCACAAGCAACACTGACATCAAACCCTACATATATTAAGTAAAATAGAAACATCGTCACCCGACCCCTCCACCCATCTTCCCCCCAACCTCTTTCCCCCTTTTCTTCCTAATGTCTCAACAAATGAAACTGACATGGGGGGAATATGGGAGACATTGCATATACTTTTGTAAATCAAGAAAATATTTAATAAAAATATATTATAAAACAAAATTCTCTGGTTGGCCTCTGTTTTCTCTTACCGAAAGAGAATCTACAAAAGGACTCTATGGGCTCTTAGATACCCCATAAGGGAAAAGGAGCAGTTTTTTCTTATAACATTGGCCCAACGGAGGAGGCCTCTCCATTGGGACATGCCAGGCAAGAGGCCTTGGGGGATCTGCCAGGTTCTGCGCCAGGACAGGCGAAGAGGGCGAGGAGGGCAAGGCCCTCTCTGTCTCTGAGGCCAAAGGAGAATAACAATAATTAGGGCTTTTATCCCCTCTGAAGTGGAGGGTTCCCTCAGGGGAGTTTGACCTCCGGACCAGTTTCCTTTGTCACCCCAAGAGCCAGAGCTAGGAGAAGGGCTCCACCTGCAGGCCCAGGGGAAAGGGGGCTCTTCCCTAGACAAGACTGGAGACTCCCCTTCTTGGCCCCTTGGGATCCCAGGAGCCCTTTCTGGATGGCCCTTGCTTGCCCCCCAAATGGGTTAAGACATCTGTTCCTCCTTCTCAGGTGGTAGTTCAACAGGAGAAGTCGCTCCCCCTCTGGATCCCTGTGGGTCTCAGGGGGCCACTGGAGCCCAGTGGGGGGACTCTGAGGAACTGGCTGAACTGGGGTCCTCCCAGTCCAGCCCAGACAAGAGAAAGAACTCTCAGAAGAGGAAGCCATTGCAGAGAAGAACCGAACTTGGCTGTTCTGTGCTGAGGGTCTACTGCCTTTCTGAAAAGGGTTCCTGGGAACTGCCATGGCCAGAGGAAGAGACAGGCCCCCCAGCCTGAATCCCCTGCAGGGCCATTGGGAGCAACCAAAGCCATGGCT